GACAATGGCGTGTTCAGAGGTCGTTACCAAAGCCCACTACTCAGATGCTTCCCCGATTAGAGGCACAGTTCACGGTAGTTTGGTTTCTGAGATTTCTACCTGGAATGAATCCCTTAACTCCAAGAATTGCACAACGGAAGCTGAGCGAGCAAAACAGCATAGATAGGGCATAATAAGGACTTAAAAGCCGCCTTAGCCGTCGTATCGTACACACCGCAACAACGAGTCGAAGCTGTGGAAATTGCACCATTCGCACCGGGACGCACCCGTTGCACACGAGGAGCGTACTGTAGTCAGCAGTACGCAATGGGGGTAACGGAACTTCTCCCCTATCGCGGCATTCTCCCTTGCGGCATGCGGCAAATGTCACTGCAATTACCGTACTCACCCCGCCTCCCACCAATCGATAGGACGCGATATTTTTCCTTGACTGGCTTGCTTTTTCATTGGATTTTATCGTTTTTTCTTCTGTTTCTTTTTAGTTTTCATGTTTGTTAGACTTGATTAATTAAAATGACTCTTCCTATTTAAACGACGATCAAGACCGCATTGGAATTGAAAAGAGCGGTCAGCCAATTCAAATAATTAAAGGACTCCCTACCTCACAAAATGCGCGCTCCAATCTTCCATCGCAATCCTGCGATACGCGGCGGGTGCGGCCTGTGCGACGCCGTGACAAGGGAGAAGTTCCCGGACCCACGCAATGGTACACACGTTTGAGCAGCTCGTTCTAATACCTTCCACACAAATTGCCTCACATTCTCGACCAGTACCTAACTATACTAGTAATTTTCTAACTATACTAATAATATACAAATTTTCGAGGCCTCACTTTCCTCTAAAACTCGGTTCCCTCACCACCTCGCTATTCTGGACGATCACTTACATTATCCGCCTAAAAGTAGATAGCCCCCATTAACGTAAACTGTGCCTTTTAAGTTTTGCTCAAATGTCAGTATCAACACAACATTCTTCCTAAGCGGTGTTGAAGCCTGCTCACTGAAAGCTAAGTATGCTGTGAGCATTCTGCTGTGGTCTGTGGTCCAGCTGCCTCCTCTTTATACGGAGGCTGTTAGAATTCATAGAACACCGCCTTCCTTACCTCCATTGCACATCGAATTGTCATAAGATGAAGAGCATGGACGTATCTTTCGAAGATCTGAACTAACGAGTATAGCTAATGCAGATTTTACATGAGAGAGCCACTTACATGCCGACTTTCAGAGTTCTCTTTGACAAGTAACTCGTATACCGAAAGAAAGAGGTTTCGTACAGGACTGAGTCGAGAATATTCCTCTGAAGGACTGCTGAATGACTGTGACACAATCTGGAAATGACGAATTGACTTATCTTCCTCTGAGTTACTAGAATTCTGTCAAAATAGAAAGGGGTGCCCATGTAGGACATTCGCTCAATAAAGCACCGTAGCCGAGATGAGACCCTAAGCGACACTTGGGAGATCGCCCTTGTGTCCCTGCTGTGACAATGTCGGGAGGGTATAGCGAAGGACCTACCTTGTCCACAATAGCCTTATAAAGGTTGAAATTGGCTGGATTCGATGATGCGCCGTATTTTTCGAAAACGTTCAGCATGAGGTCGATGTGATTTTGTGACAGCAATTCAGCTGCATACTGGGCCACGTATTTTTCGAGTAGAGGTTTGTGCTAAATAAGAGAGTTGGAGCGGTAACTGAGAGAGACCATGAAGGTCGATGGGTACCTTCTGTTGCCTAGCTGCATCCAGAGCCTTATCCCATTGTCCCTTGGCGATCAGAAGATCGATGGCAGAGATGACATCAACGTCTATCAGCTCACCAACTCGGCCCTCCTTCGTGAGCCATTCTTTGTACTGAGCCTCAACTTCTGATACCATCTCAGGAACAAACTCGCTAGCTACCTGGAAACGAATACTGTTCTGCTGAGCAGTAACTGGTTATCAAGGAAACGGACCTGCTTAGCTTTTGACCATTGCTGAGCCCTAGCCAACGCCATGACGGCCTGTCTATTTTGTCCGATGGCTAGCAACAATTCGGCCATCTTTCCATAGTCTTTGTGAGCTTCTAGCGCCTCGACGACTTTTAATACAATCTGAACGGGAGTTATCGATAACTCTCCAAACTGAGTAAAGGGTATACGAAGATGAATCGGTATCAGGCCAAGTACCTCTTCATCTGAATTTGCTAGGAATCGTAATGCTAAATCAGCGCTTTTCATTAGCGCAGTGTTGATTACTGTCTCGTCGTCTGTAGCTGAATAATCGACCTAAATTTATAATGAATCGAATATATTGGATAATAATGGCATGGCATGATTAAATAATAGTAAATACATACAACAAATTCAACTTTGCTTTGCTTTGAAGAAGGACAGGCCTTTTGGGGNACTGGGATGATTCAAAGGCATAATTCATGATAGAAAGGGCCTCTGAGCTTTGAGAAGCGGGGTGGGGACGATAGCGGAGAAGGAGACGAATACCTTCCTCCTGTCTCCATCGCTGATTCTGCGTCACGAATTTGGACCAGATCACGTGTAAGGAACTTTTGGGCGACAATGCAACTTGCCTTCAGGTAAGCTTGAACAGCTTTCACCCAGTCCCGATGTTCTTCGAAAGCTCGACCTTGTGCAAGTAATGAACTGACGCCGCGACCACCTCCTAGCAGCTCGACTTGTTCAAACTCTTCCTGAAAGGGTTCTTACCGAGTTTCATACCAGCATTCAACTCATTCGATAACGATTCAATAAAGCCCTCGACTAACACATAACTAGGATACCTGTAATTGTAACAGCTGATGCGGTAGGTACTCTTTAGCAATACGTAAAGCATCAGGCCACATTCCGCTTTCCTGATAGTACCTGAAGGTTTAATTTGGGATTTGATTACCTACGATCACTGCTGACCCTTTGTAAGTTCCTACTTGAGTATAATGTCGGGCCGATTTGCTCTCAGAAGGCAGCTTTCTGCTCGTGCAGTGTCGTCTTCTTCGAGGGCTTTGCGAGCTTCGGCTACAAAAACATCCGGCAGCGATTCTGGGGAATGGTCTCTGAAATGCGTGCTGTTAAAGCTCCTATTGAGAAATGTGGCTATGGCTCCTACATGGCTATTTGCTCGGCGTTCCTCCAGTCTCCATCATGCACATACATAGCGACTGCTTCAGCTGGTTTCCCAGCTGCAATGAAGTGCTGTGCGGCTTGATCGAGACGACCTTCTTCCTCCATTTGAACGGCCATACGCATATGAACCTAATGACATACTTATTTTCAAGGGTGCATTGCATGATTCTGTCCTACAATCATAAGTCAGCCCTATTAACCTACCGTAGCGGAGGTCTCCACATTTCTGATCGCCCCTTCCCCACTTCCCCTCCCCCTCTGCAATGGCCACCGCATCTAGACTGGGTCCCTAAGAGGCAGCGTTTCCACTTCGGGAGCCTCCCCTGCATTCTAGTTTGGAGACTCAATCGTGATGGTGATGCGGCAATCCGGAGTACCGTCCCCAGCATGCATTTGGGCTATATCTCGGACATCTGCGCTCATCTATGCGGTGTTGTTGGTTACTTCACCTCATGATCTTATTGAAATGCATACCCCTGGCAATCGCTCCTTGGCGCCCAGGCGAGCCAGTTCAAATGCGAAATCGAAGGTCCTGGAAAACGAAGCATACCAGTCCTGAATTAGAGTTAGTAATCAACATAAAGGCCGGCCACTTACCCAATCTCACTGAAGTGGTCTATAGCCTCGTTGAGCATGCCAAACTTGTTTAGCAATTTCACTCCAGCTTCACCGCCTAGGCTTTTGGCCCAAAGTAGTGCTACCTGTAATCACCCATGCATTTTCGTGGGATTTCATCTGATAACATGAAGGATACACATAAAAGAGCGATTTCTGCTTTTGCAAGTTTAACCATTTCCTGTGATTGGCGGACGCTCACTGCGGCCAATCACAGGCATCGCTGCATCGGCTATGCTGAAGCCAAGGTGAAACTACTGGGTGTTACTGTGCAGTACCTGTTTCTGTTCTTGTTCACCACCTTCACTCCGCGCCAGGCGATATGCATCAGTCCACATCTCCTTTTCTCTGTACATATTGATCGCTGCCTGAATAATCGATTTGGTTGGAGGGCCAACCAAAGGGTTTCAGAGCTAACCTTGATATCGTCGGCCTTCAAATACTCCTCTTCAGCCGAACGCAAATCTCCACGTTCTTCATGCTCCATTCCAAGCCTTTTATGGGTTTCCTTGAAAATGAATAACAGACCCGAATGATCTTCATTCTTTTACTTTTCTTTCCAAAAGTGAAACCAATCAATAACCTGTAGATGTTCTCCATGGTACTTTTCAACAAGACGAATGACATCGTCATTCCGATCCGCGTTCTTATACATAAG